ATTATGTAGGGGTGAAGGCCATTCAAAAAACTATTGTCCTAATTTACCAAGATATATGCCTCATCATTAGTAATCATATATGTATTTCTATGTATTTATCCGGATTTAATTTTGTAATGATTTATAATTCGAGGACTTGAACAGATTTGAATGGACGTGTAGTTCAATTAACGCCATTTTCGTTACATAACTAATATTGTCCCGGCATACATACTAGAGTTTGTGCAGTCTGAGGCACCCATCTATTATTAATATTTAATGATTTGATAGTAATGATTAGTAATAATGAAATTATTATTAATTTTTAATGATTTGATAGTAATGATTAGTAATAATGAAATTATTATTAATATTTAATGATTTGATAGTAATGATTAGTAATTATTAATAATAATGAAATTATAATAATAATTTGATACTAATAGGGTGATAAATTATTATATCTTCACATTGAATTTGAATTTATGTAATTTTTGTCGATAAATTATTCGACAGGAGTTTTTAAATAGAGTGACCTAATTGATATGACATTTATAATTCGATGACTTGAACAGATTTGAATGGATGTGTGGTTCAATTAACAATAAAAATGATTTAATAATAATTTAATAATGAATTTAATATTTAATGATTTGATAATTTAGTAATGATTTGATAATAATCATTATAGTAATGATTTTATAATAATCATTATAATAATGATTTAGTAATAATATTTATAATAATGATTTAATAATGATTTTAATATTTAATGATTTGATGATTTAATAATGATTTGATAATAATCATTATAATAATGATTTAGTAATAATCATTATAATAATGGTTTAATATTAATGATAATAATGATTTGATAATAATAATTATAATAATGATTTAATAATAATAATAATAATGATTTAATAATAATCATTATAATAATGATTAATCATTATAATAATGATTAAATAGTAATGATTTAATAATGATTTAGTAATTATTTTATAATAATGATTTAATACTAATGATTTAATAATTATTACTAATTATTATAGAATAATAACAAATGAGTGTACAAGTGTGGACTACTCGAATTTAAATTTATACATAGTCGAATTTATTAATGATTTTTAAATATTTAATTATTTGATACTAATAATTTACTAATTATTATTAATAATAATTTATTATTAATATTTAATTATTTGATACTAATGATTTACTAATGATTACTAGTAATGAAATTATAATAATGATTTGATACTAAAAATCATTGTTAAGGTTAAAAAAATGGTCTAATTTCAATATATAATTTGTAAAAAATAGCAAACGAGTTTTCAATTGTTGTCGATGCCGGGGTGTTGTTGAATGATAATGTCGGGGCGGACGTCTGATACGTTGTGGCCATTGCGGTTGTTCAGGAGTATGGTACCCATCCTCCTCATTCATTGGGGGCATTTGAACTGTCATGTGTTCAAAGTCATACATCGACGAAAACATAGGAGAATAGATGGGTGCCTCAGGTTGTACAAACTCTGGTATGTATGTCGGGACAGTAGAATCATCAACTGCGTGATGCAACGATCCCGCATCGCCGAACGGTTGTGGTGCGCTATTATCCACATCGGTCATTTCTGCTTCAGGTTGTAGAGATGAACTCCCACTCCCACTCGGTAAAGAGTATTCAGCTTTACCAAATCTTTTCTTAAACCTAAAAAATTGTCGTCTCTCTACCATTGTTGTGAGGAACAGCTTTCCATTATCCAAAAAATAAGCAAGGTAAGTCGAAGTTTCAAAATTATAATCGTCGTCTTGAATGTCGTCAAGAGTTGGCATTAATGAAGCCCTATTGTTCCAAGCATTAATGTAGGTTGCATGCTTCTCAACCCAATTAACATTTTCTTTACGACGACCATCAAATCTGTGCAGGTCGTCATGCGTCTCAACCCAATTCACCTGACGATGACCATCTATGTTTTGGAGGAGGTCATGATCCCATGGACTGCGCGGAATAGGTTGGTGGAAGTGAAATTGCCTCAACACTCTATCCCCAAATTGGATCTCAACAAAAGCAAAATAGATCAATGGTGTAACAACACACCAATATTGAAACCCATCTAAAATATCATGCAGTATCAACGCAAGAATTTCTTCATTCATATATGGTCTCCAATTAAACTGTAAAATTACAAAAACAATAAAATTGATTTAAATCAAATAATATAGTTAATTTAAATAATAATTAAAAATAACAGATTATATATACCTCCATTTTGGCCTTAATATCGATCTTCAGCCTGAACTCTTTAATGTTGTTGTGCACCAACCTCGTGCCTTCAATTTTATTCCTCCATCTTTATATCAATCAAAACAAAAATATTATCATTTTGTTCAATAATATTAATCAAAATAAATATTTTCTAATTAATATTTTATATTAAAATAGAGGATTCATATTACCTTCCGGCAAGTGGAAGGTCAACCGCAGTCCGACTAATCGATGTCAAAAATGGAAGTCTATGCCAAGCCCATGATTGTAGTAGCAACAGACATCCACCGATTTCTGTTGTATTATTATCATTCACGACTAATGACGTCTTGCACATCTCATGATACAAGAATGCCAATATCGCCAATCCCCAGCTATATTGCCTACTATTCTCGAAATTTCTTAAAAAAAGAAGATATTGAGTGTGAACATAACTACCGGATTTATCAGGCATCAAAATTCCCCCAATCAACTGTAATATATATGCTCGTGTTGCATATATAATTTCGTGCTCCGTACAATTTGGTTGAAGCTGAAATTCATTCTTCAACCATGACAACCTCACACGCCACCCTCTACACTCTGGTTGTACAAGTGCTTTCCCAAGAAACAAGCTGCAAAGTTGTGCCACATTATTAAACTCACGTGACATTATCACCGGCATCCCATTAGTTTGGACCCCGAGTTGCATTGCCACATCCTCCAGAGTTATCGTACATTCGCCACACGGCAAATAAAACGTGTGCGTTTCTGGTCTCCAACGTTTAATCAACGCACAGATCAAACATGGGACCAACTTGTAATCTCGCACAAATGTTACATACCAAAATCCAGCCTCTTGCAAGTTTTCTTCAATCAATGGGTGTGGCTTGGACACTTTATGTAGACTCGCTGCTCGTCCTCCTGCAATTAGATAATGCAAAAAATTTATCACAATCGTCATAAAATAATATTCAAATATTTATTAATTATAATTTATTAAACAAATATTTTATTCATCATTATTCCTAAGTGACTTGAAATATATTCATTGTCAAGTCTCAGCAGTGGAATTTGGTCAACCATTGGAATGAATATGTAAAAAAAATTAAACAACAATATTTAAAAAATCATTTAATATAATCTAATATAAACTAACTAACTAACTTACTAATTTTTTTTAAATATTGTGGATTTTTCCATTTACAACACAACAAAAAAATTTAATATAATAACTTATAATATAATAAACTTATAAAGTAAACTTTTTAAAATATAAGTTAAACGTAAACACTAAACCCATAAACAACTAATAAAATATTCTTTTATATAACTAAAACTATTAAATTATTTTTTCATTATAATATACTACTAATATTACTAACTAATTTTTTATATAATATAAATTCAACAAACTAATATAACTTAACTAATTAACTAACACAAACTAATTAAATAATTTTTTTATATAACTAACGAATAACAAAACAAACTAATTAATTATTTTTAACTATATAACTATCAAACATACTAATTAAATAATTTTTTATTTTTGTATAATATATTTAACTTAAACTAACAATCATATAACCCTAAACTAACAAACTAATTAACTAATTTTTGTTTTACCTTAAACCCTAAACTAACAAACTAAAAATTTATAATAATAAACTAATTTAAATAATAAAAATTTACCTCACAAGAGCTTTATCTCTCTTTCTTCTTCTTCCTTTCCTTTCTCCATTTCTTTCTTTCTTTCTCGGCTGCACTATCTTCTCCCTTTCTTCGGCTACAATCTCTTATCCCTTTCTTTCTTTTATGTTCTCATGTTAACAACCTCTCATATATAACACAAGATGCCTCAATTATTTCACCAATAATTGTACAATTTATGGGCTGAAATGGTTTACATGCATGCATCAATAATTACTGCATGAAGCAGTTGATTTCACGCTGCATGAAGTAGCTGATTTCACACTACAATTGCAGCCCATATAGCTGCAGCGACATGCAGTGGGGAGTAGGAGGGGACGACATGCAGCGGGGAGCAGGTTATCACGTGTCAAAGACAAGGTCGCTGGGAGTGCATGACGACCTACAAGGTCGCTCGGAGTGCATGGCGACCTACAAGGTCGCCCGGAGTGCCTGGCGACCTATGGGTTGGCTTGCATGGCTCATGCAACGTCGTCGTCATTTATTCTCGGAAGCTGCCACGTCGTAGGTCGCCCGGAAGGCATGGCGACCTACGGCCAAACTGTGCATCACCCCATTTCAGCAATTAAACTTGGGAATACATTATCACGTGAAATATAAATTTCGAGCGTGGAAGCAGCCGAGTAAAATATAACAGATAATAAAAATTGAAAAGGACAAAATAAAATTAAACTAAAATTAGAATGGCTAAACATATGTTTTCTTCACATGGTCTTTTAATAATAAAAAATTAGGATGCATTGACCTCTTGTATGAACCACGGCTCTATTTATGCTCAATCATATATTTTTTTTGGATAATTCAACAATTTATTACCTAAAATAGCAATGTTATGCTACAACCAATCAACCAATAAAAAAAGAAACAAAGTAGCCTAAATACAAAAAGAACCAAAGATTGGTTAGACTATACTCCAAGCATTACAAAGAAAATAATTAGTGATATCAAGTCTATTAATAGCTTTACCCCTAAGTCTAATGCTAACAACATCAATGATGTCTTTAAGCAAAATATCGATCGATCTAGAATGACCCTGAAAAATACGTTGATTTATTTCCTGTCAGATGGAGTAAATAAAAGCGTTCCAAGAAATCTTTAATAAGGTGGTGATAATAGACTTCCCTTTCCAAGTAGTGCTTGCCCTAGAGACCATTGTTTCCCAAGTGAGGGGAGTAAAGGTCATACCATTCAGTTGCAAAACAGATTTCCAAAGTCCAACAGCAAAAGAACATTGAGAAAAGAGATGATCCCGCGATTCTTGGTCTTGACAGCAGTTAACACATAAAGCATCATAACATAATCCCATTCTCTGCAACCTGTCTCTGGTAGGTAATCGATTCAATAAGGCCATCCAGGAAATCAAATTATGCTTAGGAATATGCATAGGGTACCAGATCAGCCTGTGCCAACAAACTTTCATGCCTTGTGATCGAATCTTGTCCCAGACTTCCCTAATCGATTGAGGAGCAGACGTAACAATAGGATAAGCAATTGGTCTCAACTTGAGAATTCTATTAAAGCTCCAGCTAACGTTAGATTTTGCTTTAAAGTTCCATAAATCATGTTCCTTAAGTACATAGGATTTAAGCCATGCTACCCATAAAGATCCGTCGCCTGCAAGGATCTTTCTAACAAGGCTTATGGTACAAGCTCTATTCCAAATAGAAGTGTTTTTCCTACCCAAACCTCATTCAGACTTCAGCAGAAATATGGTCTCCCAACTGACTCTAGCACTGGCTGCTGATGTATCAGCTCCTTTCCAGAAAAACCTGGAACATAGATGATCCACTGATTTAAAAATGGAAGCTGGAAGTATGAGTTTCCTGCACCAAAAATTACAGACACTGAACAGGACAGAGCGAATTAACTCAAGCCTGCCAGCGTAGCTTAAGTTCCTGCCAGACCAGTGCTGCAACCGTTGCTTGATTTTCCCGAGTAATGGTTCATAGTCTTTGACAGTTAACTTCCATATAACAAGAGGTATGCCAAGGTATCTGACAAGCAAGTTCCCAATCTTGAAGCCAGAAATGAATTTAATTTCCTCTAACGTCCTGGATGAAATACCCGCTGCAAAGAGTTCACTTTTTGAAGAGTAAAGATTGAGCCCTGAAACTTGATAGAATTGGTTAAGAACGCTTAGAACACCAACCACGGAATCGACATTGCCTTTACAGAAAATCAAGAGGTCGTTTGCGAAAGAAAGGTGAGTTAGCCCAATCTTCTTGCACTTTGGGTGATAAGCAAATATGCCTTTAGCAGTAGCCAAATTGAGCATATTAGAAAGGACGTTCATAGCTAGAACAAACAAGTAAGGGGAAATAGGGTCCCCTGTCTCAATCATATTTAGAGAGGAAGAAAAGTGATTTAAAAAAAAGAATATTCTTAATAAATTTATAATTTATAATCTAAAACATATGATAAAATGAAGATAAATAATTTTATTAATCGATCAAATGTATTTATTTTGCTGATTATTTTTAATTTAATGTTATTATTTTTATTCAACTCAAATCTGATTGTATTTTTAATTTAAGGGTATAGAAAGATCCCTTTTAACTTGGACTATATCTATTTTGTTTATAAGTTTTGCAGATATAACTATATTTAGTTATGTAAATCTAATTATTCAACTCAAACTGTATTTATATTATTAATCTTCTGTTTATTGTGATATTCGAGTGAATTATTTTATTGATTGAAAATCTCTGTAATTTTTGAAAGTCTCTAAAATTTTATATCTTTGAGAGGACTATAGTCTTTTTATATGACTACCGGCAAATCTATTAGTTAGAATTAAGCAAGGAAATCAAGAAAATCAAAACGAATAATATCATACGGTTCAATTCAATTTGAGTTTTTCATTTTACGGTTTGGTTTCAGTCCAGTTTAGATATTTAATTTTATAGTCAGTTCGGTTTCAAATTTTTTATTCGAAACATTTTTGGTCTAAATCAAACTGAATTAGAAAAAAATAATAATGATATAAATCAAATCCATTTAAATTTGGCATAACAAATTTAAATAAATAAACTCTTAAAATTAATAATATTATTTTTGTAAATTTAAATTTGTGTGTTTGCACTAGATTTAAGCTTAAAATTTTTCCTTTTATGATGAATTTAGAAATTGATGAACAATTAAAAATCGCAAAACAAATCAAACCAAATTGAATTGAAAACTCAATTTTAATGTTATTTGGTTTTGATTTCGGTTTCACTTTCAGAAAATCCACATAATACCGTTCGATTCATCTTTTATTAGAAAACTAAATCGAATAGACTCTTATATTTAGATTACGAATAATCATCATAACCATAAATTTGATACCAACACTAAATATTAGAGAAAATAACATCAGTGACCAAAAATGCTTTATAATATACGATTTTAACCAACTTTTTTTGGATTTGCCAAAATGACCAACAAAATCGCAACGCGAACTCTAATTTTTCAACTCAGTTTCCAAATTCGCAACGCGATTGTAAGATTCGCAACGCGATTTTGAAAAATGTATTGCGATAGTTAAAATGTGTTGCGAGAGTTTGAAAAACGTGTTATTGCGATAGTGAAAAAGTGTTACGATAGTGAAAAATCTAAAATAAGTTTACATTTTAACTATTCCAAATTCACGTGGTGTTTGAAACAATAAAGAATGTGTTGCAATAGTGTAAAAGATTCCCAAACCATTTGTAAGATCTTAGTTTGAAACAATAAAGAATGTGTTGCGATAGTGTAAAAGATTCTCAAGTGTTGGCAATGTTCAATCCCACATAGTATTGAAAACACTATTGAGAATGAGTATTTAAGGCTTGGATTTCCCACTTTCTTGTTGAGTGGAAGAGAACAAGGGGACTCTCGCGCACCGCCGCCGTCGTCTCGTCTCGTGGTCGTGGTAATACCGCGCGGATACTATCTTTTTAGAGAAAATTCTTAAGAAACAAATGCAATACTACCAGTCGTTGCAATTTTAGAAAATCGCAACTTGGACTATCGCAACGAATTTGTAAACTGAGTTGAAAAATTAGAGTTTGCGTTGCGATTTTGTTTGTCATTTTGACAAATTCAAAAAAAATTGGTTAAAATTATATATTATAAGGTATTTTCGGTCACGAGGTTATTTTTTATAACTAAATATTAACATATAAACCAACCTATATAACCAGAAAATGGATCTATAACTTTTAATCTATCGACTGATCTCACTATTCATCAGTTTTTCTACTTACTCTTTATTATTTTCATAAAATAATCGTACGAAATTCTTCATCCAAATAAAAAAAAACAATAACAATTATTCCACCATCAGCATCATATATGAAGAGAAAGAAACTTAAACCTAATATAAAAGGGCGAATCCAAATCAGCCCAATTTTAAATTTATCGAACCCAAATCAACTTGAACAAACCCGCCTATAAACGAACTGAATGGATACGATCGAGGGTATATGTTCGTTTATCTAATTTTGATTGAACAAACGAATGAACACGAACAACTAAACAAACAAAACTTTTTTGTTCATGTTCATTCATTAAAAAATTTAGTTTGTTCGTGTTCTTTCATTAAAATGATAAACGAAAACAAATTAATGAACGTAAACGAACACAACCGAACAAACATAGAAGAACGTAAACGAACATAAACGAACAAATATAAAATTAATTGGGTTTATATTTGAGTATTTTTATTTGAGTTTAAAATCAAGTGTGTTTTAAAATATTAACGAGTTTAAGTTAAAATTTATTAGATCTTAATATTTTAAACGAGTATAGAGATTGTGTTGAATATGAACTAACGAACATAAATGAACATAAACAAACATAAATGAATAAACATAAACGAACGGATTATCGAACGTTCACAAACATAAATGAACGAACGAGTCATTTGTTCACGTTCTTTCATTTAATTAAGTGAACATAAAATCTTGTTCATGTTCGTTCGTTTAATAAATAAACGAACATAAACGAACTTCTCACCAAACGGCTCGTTTAACGTTCGGTTTATTTACATGTATATCAATCCTAATATAAAAACTTGACATGATATATCCTCAACAAGTTCTCTCATATCAACACGAAAGAGATGAGATAAGAAGTGATAACGTCCTTGCTTGCTCATTTAGGGATTGAGTTCTGTTGGAGCCTAAGGGGCTAACACCCTGTTAAAATTTATATTTTTGATATAATTTTAGTTTAAAAATATTTTGATTTATGTAAAAATAAATATATAAATTTAAAAATAAAAAGTTTATTTAATATTTAATCATGTATGGACTAAATTAAAGAAGGTTAAGTCGGTGTTTTCAAATTTTTAGTTTAACTACAATTTAAATTATTGTAAGTTTAAATATTAGACAAATAAGGAGTTGTCATGTGAACATTGAGTTTTTTTAATAAATTAAGGGTGAATATAAGGTAGTATATGTACAAAGACTTTTAACTATTTGACAATGAACACTCATACTCCTACATATGCACTACTCAAACTCGGAACCTCAAGAATAATAACACTTTCTTAATCACTAAAGTCACTTGGTTCATGCTGAATTTTGAGTTTAAATACTTAATATGTCTTTATATTTTTTAAAAATAATCTAATATTTCGTCTTATGTCAATATTTAATTATGACTTTGTACCTGTACTCATTTACGTATTACGAATAGAGACCAGAGTGATAAAACATCTGATATTTGTCAAAAATAAATTAATAACAATAATAAGAAGAACTAAATTATAAAATTATAAAGTTAAAGGGTAAATTACTCAAGTGACCACTTAATTATGGATTTAATGTAGAGATGATCATCATACTCAAATCATAACGTTTAACGAAAATACTTATATGACAGTTAATGAAATTAATATAATTATATATTTTATCTTCAATACATATTTAATCAATTTTTTCTTAATTTTAATTTAATAAAGTAACTCTTTAATTAAGAGGTGACACACATACATACATGCATACATGCATACATGCATACATGCATACTTTGAAATTTTCATGGTATGTGGCGGATGTTTAATTAGGGGTGGATACTGGAATCTAAATCTTTTATTAAATAATTATTTTATTAATAATGTTCATTCTAAAATTTTATTTGAATCTATTTTATACAAATTTTTTTATTTATATAATAATAATAATACCATTGTTATTGATCGTAAATATGACCAAAAAGCGAAGCTTCAAAGTTGAAACAGGAAAACGAAAGTTTCAAAGCTTACTCTCTTGGGATGCGTTGAGACTATCTAATTTATAAATAAAATATTTCTTATTTTACAAATTAAAGTTGATATACTTAAACTATTTAAGACTCCGAATTAAATAGTTATACTTACGTGTGAATTATAAAACTTTAAATATCTAAGATTCTAAGTCTGCAAAATATAATTTTAAATTATGTAAAGTAATTAAAATTTGGCTACTTTGATTAACCTGTTTAATAAATCTAAATAATTTCAGTTTGATTAGCTTATATTTCATCAAATTTATTTTTAAAGAAAATTAGTTTATGGTTATTCAATTAATTTACTAATGGGAATTAAACAAACGAATACCCATAATTTTGAATCAGAGGAAATTCCTTAAGAATTCTCCAATTCTTCAGTCCCATGAAAACAAACAACATCTCATTTGCCATTTCAAACCAGAATTTTGTTACCATGGTTCATGTAAACCAAATATCAGTCCAATATCAATCAAATGTTTGGGACAAATGGTTGAATACTCGAGTAGAAATTTCTATTTTTTTTCCTTTTAATTATGAACTTTCAGGAGAAGAGTTTAAATATCTGTTCATTTTCTGCATTCCTACATCCCCAAATATCTCTGCAATCTGCACTGACATATATAATTTCATGGGATTAATGGCTTCTGAAAGCATTATGGAGAAAGGGGACCTTCGAAATTCATCGAAAAATCCGAAAGGCGGCTTCATCACGTTGCCATTCATCATAGGTATGCATTATCAATGACATGTACATGTTCTAAGCTTGAAAAAAATTCCATGGTTTTTGAATGTTCGAACTGCAGCAAACGAGGCGCTTGAGAAGGTACCAAGCTATGCGTTGGTGCCAACCATGATGCTCTACTTGAAGACCAACTATCACATGACAATGGCCGCTGGATATACTCTTATCAACTGTGGCAGGCCTTTAGCAATTTTGCTCCTATTCTGGGTGCTTTTGTCGCCGATTCTTACATGGGTCGTCTTTTTCATTAACATCACTTGTTGATACCTTTAATTGTAGTGTTTTCAGTGTGTTATTGCTGTTGTGAAATTCGGGTTAATTTCCACCAATAACAGATTCACCTTGAAAACTATTATCTAGGT